GAATGACTTCAGATTAGAATTTTTTTCCTTGGTGGGTTTCTGTCAGGAGTCAACGTGCTTGGGTAATTCTGCTTGTGTATTTTGACAAATCTCCCAACTCCATAGACTCTAGGACTCCTTTGGAAGATAATGCACACTAGTTTCCAACAGATAATTTTCTATTCTTTTTTTTTTTTTTTTGGCACTGGGGACCGAACTCCGGTCCTTGCACTTGCACAGCAGAGAGCAAAACCACTGAGGTAAATCCCCTGCCCATCCAACAGATAATTTTAAAACAGGCAAAAAAAATTTTTATTTTTTTGAGACTCAAGCTAAAGAGGCTTATTTGTGTCAAATTCCTTTCTCAGAATAGCTTTGGTATGGTATGGTGATTATGAATGTGAGCTTGGTAATTCCAGTGACCAAATCCACTTGCTTTGGAACTTAAGCAAGCAAATTAACCTTTCTGAGCTTCAGGATCACATTTTTAAAATAACTCATATTTTAAAAGATGGACCAGATCAAGTGAGATGCAAAATGTGTACTACTTGGCAAGGGAAAACATAATAATTATTAAATAGTTGAAAAATAATCTTAGAAATCAACTTAAATGTTAGTGCTATCATATATATACAAAGCTTTTGGCATGAGATAGTTTCTCATGCTATTTACCAAATTCAGGAAGTTAAATGATCAGTGTCTAACAATAGAGAAATAAATCACAAGATATCCCTATAATGATGTTTATCAAGTGTTTTTGTGATGTCAGTAAGAAACGCCTTCCATACCTTTAGACTGAATGCTAAGCAGGTCACTTGAGTGATTTACTCTAAACTCACATGCAAAGCCCATGGCATTCCCAATTCTGTTGAGTCTTTGGAGAAAGGCAAGAACTGCCAGCCCTCTGATCAGCTGTCTGCAAACAGGACTTCTGACCCTCTTGGTCTATAACGCTTTTCTTTCAGCCAAGGAAATTCCCCCTATGTGGGCCACGCAGACCTCTCTATCACAGAGTTCACCAGGCTCTGACGGCTTTGAACACCTCCTCTGACCACCCAAGCCCTGCTGCCAGTTTGCACTAATTCCATTCTCATTTTTCACGGTTTTTTCCCCTTCTTCTTTCAGACCACTGTCCATACCTGTCTGTACATGACCCTCCTGCCTATCAGCTATGGCACTAATACATTTGTATTTCAGTTGGGGACTGATAATAGTTTCCAAAAGGTTCTTATATTTCTCATGTGGTGCGGAAATATGGCCTAACTCCACAGGCAGGTAATTCTTCAGCTCTGATTGAGTGGGAGCTCCTGCAAGTCCTAATGCTGACTAAAAAAGCAAGAAACACAATTATAAAGGAAAAATTATTCTAATGCTGTTAAGAGAGAGCTATATAAAGGTCACTGTAAAGAAAAACAAAATTAAGTGCAACGATAATATTTGAGTGATGTATCTTAGATATTTTCCTTTAATTAGAGAATTTCTACAATGAATTTTATTCTTCTTATAATAGGGAAATGGCAAAATTTAAGAAGTCATTGGAAAGAGATCCCCCGAAGGCTAACCACATTCTCATTCAAAAGCAAAGTTTTGCTCCAGTTCTCTCTTGTGATGTTTTGTTATAAAGAAAATTGGTCTCTTCAGATGATCCTATAAGTGTTTGTTCTCAATGCTAGTGTTAAAAATATACCTTTGCTTTGCATGCTACAGCTTTCTGCTTTCACATTTCTGGTATCTTTATCTGTGAATCTATTTCCTATCTGTCTATCTGTCTATCTGTCTATCTGTCTATCTATCTCTCTATCATCTGTCTCCATAAGCACATCCTTAGTAGGCACCATTGCTACCCCACTCATATCTTCATGGCACTCATCTTCCTCACATGGGCCAGCATTAAGTTACCTAACTTTAAGCATCTGCTTCTCTTGCATGGGGTCTTTCTCTGGAGATAGGAACCAAGGACCCTGCACATAGGATGTCCAGGGAGTAACTGGAAATGGATACGCATCCCTGAAAGCCCTAAGCATAACTAATAGAAACTGGTGGATAAATGCCCCCAATTTCTTTGCCTCATGGCAAGTGGAGACGCTAGTGAGATGTGTCTTGCATTTTCCCCGGAATTCGCAGGAGTGACCCCTTTGTTTCCCATGGTGTTAACCTGTGTGGTACTTCACCTCCTGTTGGCGGTACACTTCTGGCTACCTCTCTTCTCCACACTCCTACCTAAGCTTCCAGGGATTTCTTCCTTAGTACATAACTTGCATTCAAGTCTTTCCTCAGGATCTGTTTCTGGAAAATTTTAAAAATATTGAGATCTGTAGCTATTTCCTGTAGAGCACGACATGTGGTATAGCTGACTCTGAACTAAGTGTGAGCTCCAAATGTGGCCAGACTATAAGAGAACATCATCTCAGGTAGCATTACTAGAATATGGTTAAAGAGACTTGAAGTATCTGTGCAATATTAGCTCTAGTTCTGGATACATCCTTTTTTAAAAAGAACATTCAAGACTTGGAATATGAGCATGACCTCCTTAGTGGTTAGGAACATAATAACAAAGATAGCAGTGAAAGGAACTGGATCCCTTTGGCTTACAGAATAAATCACACAAAGATGACACAATCACTATACTCAAGTAGCTGAAGGGAATTTGTGCACACAGCGAACTAAATTTGTTCAGACTTTTTGTAGAAGGCAGAGCTCTGGAGAAAATAAATTAAAGAAAGGAAAGTTTCACCTTGAGAAGATGAATTTTCTAACAATTACAGTCTTCCCTTATGAAATGCAAGATCCTAGTCCCTGTAAATACTTAAGCAGAGGGTTAAAATCAACCCAGATTATAAATGAAATGCTCTGTGATTCTCACCAAAAGCTCATTTCAATCATCACTGTTTCTTGAATTTCATCAGCCACCCTTGGTAGTTTAAGTGTTTTTGGTTCCTGAAATTTCTTCATCCTGTGTTTGTGCTTCAGTTTTGTCCTCTGAGCTGCTTCATGGGTTAATAAGTAGTTTTGATCTCATTGTCACAGTATCCAGGGCTCTCTGCCTTCTCCCTTAGCACAGTAATCTCAGGTAAGATGCACAGTATCTCTGCTCCTCCCATCAGCAGTGGTTTTTGGCCATTAGAAAACGAAAAAGGGCCCAAGGGAATGAATACTAACCAGGTAAGAGCTTATTTTGAATCACTTCTAAACCTACTTCTGACTCTAAGACTCTATCATTATTTTCTGTTTCAGGTTTTGTTATCCTCATTCTTGAGTTTCTTTTCTTTGTTAACATGTCTTCCCCAAACAAAACCTTATGAAAATTAGAACAGTTTCTGGTGTATAGTGTTATTAGCTCAATTCCAAAACTAAGTTGTTCCTTACTTTGAAGACATGCATGTCTGTAAGCAAAGAACTCCAGGCCCTTGCTTTCCTCGTGAATGAGTTATATAGCCCTCCTGGAGGATGATGTCCAAGTCTGTCTCACTATAGTTTTCTTGCAGAGGATGCTGTCTCCTACAACTGGCTGAGCTCAGTGGATGCTAAGTATTGTCTCCTCTTCTGCAGGAAAGAGGGACCTGGCTGCAAAATAGGACAGCTCTTCTTCAAACCAAAAAGAGTGCTTGCTTTTCCAGATTAAAGCATGTGGTGTTCCAGCTGGCAGAGCGAGGATTGACAGGTGGACCCATAAGGATCTTGGAATAAATCTTTAGGGGACTGAGCTAGGGAAACTGTGGTGTTATAGCACTCTCTTACTATTATTACTTTCCCAACAAATCCTTACTGAATATCTGCTTTGTCTTCAGGGCTCAGAAATTAGCAAGGAAAATGATCCCAAGAAAAAAGGACCCTACTCCGACATACTTCCTGTACCATGGAGAGGAGCATGAATTCACAGTCTCTGTACTGGCTGAGGTTGGGGATCAAAGCCTTGCTGGGCCACTTACCAAGTGAGAGACCTTGTGCAAGTTATTTCACTTTTCCATGTAGCAGTTATCCTGGGACGGTTAAACAAGAACAAACCTAAAACAGTGTCTGGCACAGAACAGGTTCATAAAAATGCTTCTCTTCTCGTCAATCGCTTCTCAGGGTGTTCTCTGTAGAAATTATGGTTCCATTACCCTTCCTTATTTTGTGGTATCAGGACCCCAACCCCAGCCTCCCCAAATGTCTTTTACACCCTCTGGGAGAAGCTCCCATGCTCTCTCCAAGCAGAGGCCCTCTGACCCACTATGATGCTTGGGTATTTATCATTGGACTACACATCTCAAATACTTTGCTTCTTTTTCTCTATCACCCTTCTTTATTTATCCGGTTTTCTCATTCTCACTTCTATGACTTATCTTCCTGAGATTAAAGGTTCCAGTTTCATGATTTTTTACTCTATTTTCTAGGTACATTAATGAAATCACTGGTATTTTAGCCCAGTTATAGTAATTTCTTTAACGGGGAGTCTTCTTCCTACCATCTAACACATCACAGTTTCATGGATGTAACCTTCATACCACTCTGATCTCACTTTGACTGATACCTGCAAAATATACTTTGTAGGAATTTCGTAGCAGAAAATGTGAATGTTGTCTTTGTTTGGGGCTCCAAAGAAGTCTTCCCTGAATCTAGGGGAATTGCACTTGATGTGAACAGAAGAACATCACCAAAATTGTAAACTAATTCCCTCAAAAGTGTGAACTGCAGACAGAAAAGCTTTGTAGGGCACAAGTGAAACAAAGGTGGAGCCATGGGATGTTTCTGTTTCTAGAGCTCCCCTGTAGATTCAGGAGGTTGTCAAGCCTTACATACTGTATCGAAAACATGCATGAATATGTCTGTCATGGGACTGAAATTTCAATTTTGGATTACACTTTAATCAAACTTTTCTCTACTTTGTCACCTACCTGTTCAGTAGATTTTGTGTGGTGCTTTCCAACTTTCACTTAGAAGGTATGTCCTCACCAAATTTAAACCATTAGAATCAGTTCTTACATTCCTCTATTTCTATTATAGTAAGTCAAAGTTTAGAAAAGGGCATACACACTTAATAAATAGAAAATATTTATTATACAGCATTATTTTTGATTATTTGACAAAAGGCAGTAACAAGCCAAAGGAAAACACTTTTACAAGAAGCAGAACAACTTGTACAATCACATACATTATAGTGAAGAGTTTCTGCCATTTTGTTACAGAGTATGTATGTGTACATCTCCAGTTTTGAATAATTATGATATAAGAGCTAATACTCTAATTATTTAGGAAAACTCATAATCATGATATTAGTAGGCATTCAGAGTAATATTGTAATCAGTGTTGAATGTGTTCACCAAATGTCTCAGACCAAAAACCTCAGAACAAACTAATATCTTACATCAGTTCAATAGAAATCATTTTTCTTATCTAATTTGACTTTTAAAAAATCTGAATGTACAAGTACTCAAATATTAAGGACATATATTAGTGGCTTTAAGATTAAAAGACCGTGTTTCACTAATAAGGTATAATATGTATCCTTTTGTAAGGATTCCAATTAGTAGAAATCCATCTATTAAAGGAATGGAACTATCCATTTTTCTCATTCTGCTTCAGTACAATGAAAACATAGAACTGAAATTCACATTTTAGTCATGAGGTCTTTTCAGTAAAGGCATTTTAAAAGAATTTTGTAAAGGAAAGGCAGTTTATTCTTGATAGAACTGACTAAACTTGGTGATAGAATATGGTAAAACATAAGAAACAAGCTCCAAAGTTGGAGTTGATGTTAAATTCTGAATAAATAATGCAGTCAATATTTAAAGATTCTAAGATGATTTTTGGGTGAGAAATCAACACCATCATTGGCAGCATCAATATGAAGAAAGTATTTTAAAATATAACTACACATAAGGCATAAACAAAAATTTTTAAGGGGATAGGATTCATTCCACAAATAATAGACGAAATAAACACCAAGAAAAAATTTTTTATTGGGGATAATAAAGGAGCACAAAAATAGAATAACTGTATTACATGTACATGAATATTACGCAGCAGCAAATGAGAGAATCATAAAGAAAAGTTATGATAGCAAAAAAAAATATGAAAATAAAAATTAAAAGAAGGCAAAAATGTGATTAATGACTAATACTTGAGAAATCATGACTAGACTTGGATGTTGTATACTAAAGGAAGATAAAGTTCAATTAGCTATGGTAAATCTTTTTTAAAAAACTAAAATAACCTGAAATAATCTAAATACTGTCTTTTTAATCTTATGTTTTAATAATGATGTGTGTAAGTTTATAAAATGTACCTTTTGTCATCCACAGAATTTATGACCCTCTATACAATAGATTTTCAAACTGCTTCATTAATAACATTTCCACACCATAAAATTTCTGAAAAATACATTCCCTCTTAGAAGAAGAATTATCATTTGAGCTGCATTTGAAAAACATTGGATCATAGTACTCAAACCTTCAAAGAACTTCTGCATATATGGGTGGCAACGATATATAAAACATTATTGAAACATAAAAATGTCTATACTATATCCAAAAGACAATCCTCCAGTTGAAGTAGGTTGACATTACACTGCACAAGTTTTATAGTCACATGAATACAAGGACACAGGAACACATTTACTCACTAGTTACAAGGACTCCAATGACAATAGGAAAGAGTTACTTGTCATTTAAACCGGTAATAGTTGCTATGAGTACACCTTAGGTTCAAAGATGGATTTGATTCTGTAGTACATAGGAGAAAGAATGGCACCACATTGTACATATGCTGAATCTTCAAAGTCCAACTGGTTGGTTTTATTTGCTACGATAAAGGGAAGGTAACACTTCTGCCACATGGTTTGTTCTGTTTAACTGAAGGGCAATGGCGAGTCCACTTGGCCCAAGCACAAATGAATCCACAAACGTTTCTGTCACTCTCAAAACAATTTTCTGTTCTTGTCTTTTTCCAAACCACCAATAAGCAACCTCAAGTATGAGACAGTGGTTGTGCAGACTGTTTTTTCTCAAAGACCCACGCTTCAGTCCCATGGGACTTCTCATTGGTTCTTCCCGTACCACTCCCAATGAAGTGCTTGTTGGTGAGATTTTGCTCTCATTCCTCTTTTCCTAAAGAGAGTGAAATCCCAGAGCCTCGGGGTGACTGGGCACCCTTCTCCAAGTGCAGTAGCAAGGCTGGCTCCGGGTGACAGCAGCAGGTGAGGAGCGGCCCCGTTAGGGTCGGTTCCTGAATCGCCGGGACATTAGGACTCCGAAGGCTCAGGAGGGAGAAGGGCTCCTCAGGAGGAGCTGCTGTCCCATCACCTGGTCCCTGGGTGTCCCTCTCCCCGCACTCCCGCCCTGCCTGGCTCCAGGCCCTCCCCAGGAATGCCAGGATAGGAACTGATGATTCAACTGGCGCGTCCACGTCCACAGGTGCTGTCTCTTCCCAAGCATGGCCAAGTGTGTGCGGGTGGATATATGGATGCACGATTGTGCAAGAGAGAATATTTTTGTGGATTTTATTTATTTTTTGAGCTAAAAGTTACATACCATATGGAATTGTGCTTTGTCAGAATTCCCTTTCCTCCTAGAGAAGGCTTTTGAATAATTCAAGGATCCACATCCTGGCCTGGATCACTGCTCGGGATCTTTCCCTCTCTCCTTCCCTAAGGCAGCAGCAGCTCGCTCCGCTCCTTCTCTCCCCCCTCGGCCCTCCTCTCCCGCCTTCTCCTCCTGGCTTTCCGCACATCTCAGGAGGGGTGGGAGCTCTCCGGCTTATCCTGCTTCCCCGGGAGGACACCTCCTCTCTACAGGGTGGACGAGCTCTGCTTGTAGTCCCTCAGGATGACAGAGGCGTAGGTCGCATTGGGAGGGGTGCACAGCACCGACTCCGACACGGGCGAGCTGGGCACCGAGCTGCCCGAGGCCACCGAGTCTCGGAAAGGTGACGGGGGCGTCAGGGCCGGGGAGTCCTCCGGGGTCAGCTTGCTGGCCGCCTGCGGGTTCTCCTCCTCCTCGTCCACTTCGTCCTCCTCCGTGTTGCCTTCCCTCTCGTGCTCGTACACGTATTCCTGCAGCAGCTTGAACTTCTCGCTGTCGTCGTCGTCCTCCGCGGGCGGGGAGGCTGGGTCCTCCCCGAAGGTGCTCAGCTGCAGGGGCAGCATCTGCAGGTGCTGCGGGGCAGGCGGGGGCGGGAACAGGGGGCGCAGCCCGCTCCCCTGCGCCCCGGGCCCGGCCAGCACGGCGCACAAGTCTGGGATCCCCGCGCCGAAGTTGCCCACCACTCCCTGAAGCTGGTCCATCAGGGATTTCGGCTGGGGCGGTTGCTGCTGGGGTGACTGCTGCAGGGGAGGGGGCAAGCCCTTGGGGAGAGCCGGGTCGGCAAGGAAGAGGGGGTTCTCCTCCGCGGTCAGGTGGGGTGGCAGGGGCGGCGTGGTCACCGCGGGTGGCACGCGTCGGTGCACCACCATGGAAGGGCTGCTGGGAGGGCTGAGGCGAACCGGCCGGGCGTCCTCCTCCTCCACGTTGTAAAGGGTCTTGGTGCTGGTATCTGAAAAGGTCAGGCTCTTGCCGGAGCCTTGGTAACTTTTAGTGAGGGGCTTGATGACGGCCGTTTGGTTGCAGGCCGTCTCATTGGTCTTCACGTGCACAGAGAGGCGTTGCCACATGTGCTGTCCCTTGGGCCCCTGTCTTCCACCTGGTTCAGACCATGACACAGACTTGCCATTAGAACTATGAATAAAATAGAGATGGGTTTATTTGCAGATAGGTCATGCACAAAGGATAAAATACGTATACCAATCCCACACAAACCCTGCCCAATGCAGTGTAGCTGCACCCTCTGCCCTAAGCCCTTCTTCCACACCCCCAGGCTGCCCTTGCTGAGAATCAAACAACCAAACAGCAGCTCCTGGAGGCTGCCTGTGAAGCTGCAGCCAGAGCGTGCACTCCACACCAAAGAAGGAGCTGCTGGGGAGAAAAGCCTGTCTGCTGCAGAAACAGCTATTTTAGAAGATTTCAGAGTCACCCCTCCAACTCACCCCACACATACACTGTAAGGAAATAATGGTTTTCCAAATGCAAGACTGTGAATGATTCCCAAACTGGTGGAAGGAAATAAAAAAAAAAAACCTCTTGGTTACATATTGACAACAGAGCACAGTGACTTTCGTCTTTGGGTGAAATTAAGACCCACATACAAAGCTACTGTCACTGTTCTGAGGACTGTAAAGTAGACCCTCTCTGCTGCCCTTTCTGATATATGAATGTTCCTGACCACACACATGGCACCTGGACAAAAGAGGAAAAAGCAGATGACAGAAAAGCCTACACCCACGATCCACTAAGGTGTTTCAAAACTTTCCATTTTCTTTATTTCAAAACACTGTGACACATACAATGGAACACAATTCACATACAGACCCTGATTCACGGTTTCAGATTTTCACTCTGGGAATATTCAGGAAGGTGTGTTTGAAAATAGAATGGGGAAGCCCAGTCAAATGCTAATGCTCATATGGTGCTTTAGTCTTCCAACAGATTCTGATACTAATGAGAAAAAATGAAGATTCGGGGAAAGCAGCAGTCACTGAGACAGAGGCCGCTGTGTGGACCATTTCTCCCCGAGCCTTGGTACAGAAAAATCTTAGGGCCCAGGAGTCTTCTTGCCTTTCCAGGTTTCAACTTCACGAACCCTCATAAAACCAAACAAATGGAATGTCTCTCTGAGGAAGAAAAACAATGAAATGTACTGTAAACATATACTGCAAACTCTATTCTGTAAATTGTAGTCATTCTGGGCTTACTTTTGAGCTTTGCTTATTTTCTGCAAAACTTTTAGCAGATGGTGGTGCCTTACTAACACATTCTAATAATAACAACACTATTAATACTTAAAAAGAAATCATTTCTTCTGGGGTTTTTTTTTTCCATTTGCTTTTCTTCTCCATACCCATTAAGGTAACAGAAAAAGTAGCACAATAAGAACACATTTGTGACATTTAAAGGAATAAGAAAATGAACATTTTTTTCTTTCTGTGGAGGTGTGAAATAGACTATTTCACATCAAATCTTTTGTTTAGAAAGAAGTAGAAAATGATGAATAGTTAGCATAATGGTTTATTTAATCATTTTGAAGAAACAAGATTAAATGCTTCAAAAATGATATGACTGCCACATTAATGATAAGATTAATACTTTGACACTTCATATTTTGTAATATTGAAATGTGAAGTGAGCCAAATAAGTACAGATTAGTGTAGAAAATCTGATATGTAGTCTAGAAAATCTGGATATAGGGATATAAAATACATATAACAGCTAAAATGTTGACCTTATTATTCGGAAAGAAGGCTATTCCTCAGTGTATCTGATAATTCCAGCTGTATTTTTAATTCTCTAAGAAAAAAATCTCATCTCTAAACTACTACATCGAAAATAATGTTTCTCGCAAATATATGTTTCATACACTATTTGGAAAAGTATAAATGTTTACAAATTCTAAATTTCAAATTATAGACTTCCATGCTATCTTATTGGTGTAGTCTCTTCTGAGTTGAATCACATAATGTATAAATACTGAATAGTTTTTCTGGCGTGAGAAACAAAGTATAAATAAGGACTAAAATGTATAGTAGGTAACGTGAAATAGGAAGAAAAGGGGCAAAGGGAAAGGAAGTGGGAGGGCTAGGGGAAAGGAAAGAAGGGAGTGGAATTAATAAGAGAAAAAGAAAAAATGGAAACAAAATCTTTGTAAATAGGGAGGGATGGAGAGGTTGAAGGGAGAATTTCCAATGATGAATGTCATTATATTGTATACCTAAAATGTACCAATGATTAGAATGAATAATTGATAATGCAAAATAGGAAGAAAAGGTCCAAAGAGGTAGGGGTAGTGGGAGGGGCAGGGGAAAGGAAAGAAAGGAAAGGAAAAATGATGAGACATGGAAAAAATGGAAATAAAGTCTTTGTAAATAGGGAAGGGTGGAGGGCGTGAAGGGAGGGCTAGGAATGGGGAAAAAATAAGAACCAAGATGCATTATGTAAAGATACAAGTCCCAATGAGAAATGTAATTGTGTAATATACCTACAATATACCAATAAAAGAATTAAAAAGAAAAAAAAGAAAAATAAAAGAGTAGTGTCCTTGGCAAGAAAATAATCACCTCTCCAGCTGAAAACAAAATCAGAATCCACAGGTCCTCTTCTGGGCATAAAATTTCAGGTAAGCAAACCTCCCAGTTCCATTTTTCCCAGGTGTTGCCACCACTCTCTATACGTCATTTCTTTATGCATTCGGCATGGCTCTTGCAAAAATTATAAAACCTATTTGCTCCTCCCTCCTGCACGTAAGCCTTATTGACCCTTCCAACTCACTGGTTTACATCAATTTCAATTGTAGTGGGAAAGCCTTTTTCTTTCCCAAGTGCCTACCCCTTAATATTCATTAATAAAACCATTAAACTAAGATGCTGACATGTGTCTTCAGTTAATTGTTTGTGTGTATTTAAAAGAAGAAGTGCCCTGAGAGCTAGTTTTCAGCTACATTAGAAACCCCAATTAGGCTTAGAAGCCTTGATAACACATTGTCCCTTCTTCTCCAAGGAAATTGTCTCCCTGTGCTCCTGGGGAGCCTCAAGCTGTCTCCCTAACTGTACTCAGTCACAGAGCTGTCTTCCTCAACATCCAGGGGTCCATTATGGCCCTGTTTCTGCATTATACACATCCATAAAGTAACAGTATCAATAATGACCTTGTAGATAGATACAATAGCTATTTAGTTCTGTTTTCATTGAACTCAGTTTTTATTTTTTATGATGAGGGATTTTCACTCTAGCTGTCAAAATGAGCAGCTTTCCTGGCCCTCAGAGTTTTGCTCTAAATTTGCTGTAAAGTCCTGTTTAATTAGGAAACAGATCTCATGCCCCCCAGGCATTTATCAGATTATAAAAAGTAGACTAACATTTTTTTAAGGATAAAATAAATTGTTTCTTGAACATCAGAAACCGTAGAGAACAATGTATCATTTCTCAGAAATTGCAGCACAAAGTAGAAACTTTGAGCTTTCAGGATTAGTCATTCCTTCTATGTGGGCCATAGACAACCTGAATGGGCCATGAATTTATGCATTAAGCATTGGTTTTAGATTGAATAAAGATTATACTTCTTTGTGTGTGTTTGTCCATGCTCTGCTGGGATTGATCCCAGGAGCTTCATATTAAGCTATATCCCTGTCTTTCTTACTTTTCATCTTGAGACTGGGTCTTGATAAATCACTACACTGCTCAGGCTGGGCTTGAATTTCGAATCCTCTTGCCTCACCCTCCCAGAGTGGTAGGAATATAGGGATGTTCCACCGTGCCCAATTTATTTATTCATTCATTCATTCATTCAACTTTTGGTTCCAGGGATCGAACTCGGGTCCTTGCGCTTGTGCAGCAGGCAGCGAAACCACTGAGCTAAATCCCCGGCTCCCAATTTATTTTTAAATGCCTGTGAATGCTGTTTTGATAAAGTGTGCTGTGAGATAAAACTATAAATAAATCCTGATGACCTTTCATGTGTTCTGTATTTAAATGATCACTAATAAAGTTAAGTACTATTATTAGTTCAAGTAGAGGCTTAATAACTATTTTGATGTGAAATTGGAGCATCAGAAGGCTGTGATGCTAAGAAGAAAAAAACATAAAATATGAGGCCTGAAATATATGTTATGGGCATCACCAAAGAATATATATATTATAAAAATCCAATGGTACTATGAAATATGATTTTTATTTAATTCCAGATAACTTTAATATTTTCTGCTTTAGCACAAACTTCAGTCTGTTGCTTAATTTTACTTGATTTCGTAATGTTGAGTAAAGCAATCTGGTTTAGAACACACCACATAATTGTCACAAAACATCCCATCCTTGTTGTTTTATCTTCAAAAGACAGACTGAAAATAATCTCCTAGTTGAAGATCAAATGTAGCACATTTGGGGCAAATATCTCTGGTGGTTAACTATATTTATTGGTATCAAAGTATGGGCGGGAATGGCTGGTAGGCCTAGACGAAGTGTGGAAAATTATGTGTCTTTATTGCATTCAGAATTAGGCAGCCCTGAAATAGCAGCCCGAACTACAAACAGAGTCAGGATCTTGCTTTGATTTTTGTTTCATTAGATAAGTATCACAATCCCCCAAAACACAAAATTCACTATTTACCGCACTTGAGAGAATATTTGGCAGTGGGTGGTGTAAACAGATTAGTGTATCTGGCTTTCTGAGTGATCCTGCCTGTTTTATTTGTTTCAGTAAGCACTAGTTACATCTGCAGAGTACGCTGCTGTCTGCTCCAGAGAGTTCTAAAATGGGAATAACAGTGGGTGGGTGCTTGAGATCAGGAGGAAGCATCGTGCACACTGAAGCTCCCGAAGTGGGAAGCTTACACAACACCTGTGTCCCTCATGTTCCATAAGTACCCACCTCTGTACGTTGCTGGGCCTCATAGTATCACAACAGAGATAACACCTAAGAGTCTACAGAAAGCTCACAGGCAGGTGAGACCTGCTCATGAGGAAGGGAGACTTTGAACACGAGGATGTAACATTTATTTTCTTGGAAATCATACGAAAATGGAAATAGGAGTTGCCATTGAGTTCCATTATGGAGAGAATGGCTCACCCTTCCAAAAGAACCCATAAGCTACCAGCTTTGGGGCGGTGCTACTTTGGTTGCTGCAGCTGCAG